GGGGTGGGGGTGGGGGGGTGGGTGGGGGTGGGGGTGGGGGTGGGGGTGGGGGTGTGGGTGTGGGTGTGGGTGTGGGTGTGAGTGTGGGTGTGGGTGGGTGTGGGTGTGGGTGTGGATGTGGGCATAGGTATGGCTTTTCACGCTGAGTATAGCCACACCCACACCCACACCCACACCCACACCCACACCCACACCCACACCCACACCCACACGCACATCCACACCAACACACCCACACCCACACCCACACCCACACCCACACCCACACGCACATCCACACCAACACACCCACACCCACCCATACTTAAATTCATTTACAATTTCAATTCTTTGACCATACATTTCTATTTTTACTATTGGCTTTTTTATTTGTATATAAAACAATTGTGCAACAGTTTTACTTATATTTATAGGTTGCTTCCATTTTTTCGAATATTCAAAGATTTGATCGCATATTTTCGTGCCTTCTCGTTCTAAGTATTCGATCATGGGTGTTAATTTTGCTTCCAATGGGGGTCTTATAAGAACGCATAAATCATCTGCGAACAAATGTCCCGAATGAACTCCGCAAGATTGAACAAGATCACAATGAAACACTATAAACAGATACGGGCTAAGATTACTACCTTGAGGTAGACCGATGTTTATATGAAAAACTTCTGATGACTTATCTCCAAATACAATATACGCCTTTCTATCTTTAAGCCAAGATACTAACACTTTCAACATACTGAGGAGTATACCTAACCTCCACAGTTTTGTTAAGAGCGCTGCGTGCCACACGCGGTCAGATGCTTTCTAATAGTCCACATATATAGCTAAGTTGGTATGTTGACAGCCATACTATTCTTAATCTCCTGGAAAATTGACAACACTATGGTGGGTAGTAAGCATCTTGGGCGAAAACCCGATTGTTCTACTGGAACAATATGATTTGTCTCTGCCCAATATCTTACTCTATTTAACATTAGTTTTTCAAAAAGTTTTGAGTGAGTTGCAATTAAAGAAATCGGACGAGTTTGATTGCATTTAAGAACACCGGCTTTTAATTTATTTGAGGTTATTATCTTCGCTAGTTTCCATTCCTCTGGATATCTACATTCACTCAACCATTGATTAAAACAAACAACAAGACATTCGATATAACTCATCGGAAGTTTTTTAATTATGAAGTTGGATATTTGATCAAAACCTGCTGATTTTTTTGGTTTGAGGGATCGGATCACTCTTCTGACCTCGGCGATATTAGTTCTCTCCATTTGTGCTTCAGAATTAGATAAAATTTCCAGTATTTCATTACATTTATCAACAACTTCTACTTCATGTGAATCAGACAGATCTATCACTGGCTTTTTGAACTGTTCACTATAATAGTTATGTAGTTCCCTTGTAATATCGTTTTGTTCTGAGAGTACTTTATTACCACTTAGTAGTTTATAAAATGGTAATGTACGTGTTTTATAAATACGGGATAGATATGACCAAAACATTTTGTCTTTGTTATCATGTGTCTGTTGGATTGTAGACAAAAACTTTTGCCATTGAGACGCTTTATATTTTCCTATCTCATTTTTTATTTCTCTTGTCATGACTCGAAGAAGTACTCTTATTTCTTCTCTTACTATTCCTCTCTGACGTAGATGATAGTATTTATTTCTTATTTTCCTTACTTCTTTTAATTTCTCGATTATATAATAAGGCAATGATGGCTTATATTTCTCTTTCTCTTTCCATTTTGTTAATCTATTCTTCGCTGCTGCGAGGAAGCGCACGTACTGACAATACCATTCATTTGTGTTTATTCTTTTCTGTTCTTCTACCCAGAATGTTTGAAGAAGTATTAAAATAGCTTCGAACGCCTTCCAATTGGTATGTGAGAAGGAACCGTTCAATTTGAAAAATATATTTTCACATGTTAAAGCAAGAGGCCAATGATCGCTACTGCCGAAGTTCATTATATCACATGAAATAGCAGGGATATTTGAAAAAGATAAATCTATATTGCGCAACGAGCGTTTCGACGAGTGTGATGTCGATGGAATGTAGCTGAGATTATTCTCATCCATCCATTCTTTCACATATACTCCTCTCTTATCCGTCGACGGACTATTCCATTCTTTTACTGTTGCATTAAAATCACCAGAGAGAATGGTTCCTTCTATCAGAAAGGGAAGAATGTCATCAAGATTGCGTTTTTGACTGTGTGGCCAATAAATACCTATGACACGCACTGGTTCTGATAATCCTATAATATCTATAACTAATGTATTTGGTATGTCTGTTTCAATACGTGATGCCTTCAAATGCTTCTCTACTGCTATGCATACGCCTCCACTATGATTAGTGCCTTTCTGATAAAATATGTTAAAATGTGGAAGTTTATTTGTGTTCCAAAGCTCGCCCACTTCAGTAAAAATACAAATGGAGGCCTCTATTTTGTACACTAATTCTATCACTTCAAGTGCTCGTGTGCCCCATCCTTGGACATTATAGCACATTATTTTAAAAGGTGTATTAACACTATTAGAAATTATTACATTATTTTTTTCGCACTGACTTAATACTGAATTTAAAGATCTATTAGAGTACCATTCATTCAAGAGATTTAACAGTAATTTTTGATCACCTGTTGAAAAATTCCATTGTCTTAGCTGATGCATCGCTTGTTCTATTGAATCTATGAAAATATCATTTTTTAAAGAGAAGAAAGGAAGCGCAAGCAGATTAAGCGAAGAATTAAAACTACTTATGATTATTTCATAGTTAATGAATCATCTCTAGTGATCGTTCGGAAATGACCTCATCAATTCTTTTCATATATTTACATCTCACCCTTTTATATTTAGATAGCTCTCTGATAGCATGAGGGTTCAACATAGTCTAGTTGACGAAATGTAGCTTTCTTCGCTCAAGATTATTAATTCAAAAGCACTAAATATTTGAGAATTGAGAAGATAAATATGCATAAAACAAAGACTAAATACACAAAAGCAAACGAGAGATGGATCGATTCATGTCATTATAATGATCAATCGTGAATGCATAGGGATATTACGATATTGATGGACGAAGAGAGATCATTACACTAGTACCTGTATGCACTACTCGAATAGAAAAGAAGAAGAGAACAAAAAGATTGAAATATGGGTGACAAACTCAATTAAGATTAGAGCGTTACTCGTGATGCACTCGATGACAAACGTCATCAAAGAGAGACTGAAGATAGCTATATTTTCAATTATCATCTTCTTATTGGTTCTGGATCTTTATATTCGATTTTTCTTTCTTGGATTACCCGAAAATATGATTAGCGCTTGCAGCAATTAGAGGCTTCAAGTTAATTGATTGTGCCTGGCAATGCAGGCTCTATATTAATTAACATGATTGATAAATAACAATGCGATTGTCTAAAATAGATGCTATTGTTTCTATAAAACCAGCGTTATGAAAACTCTTTTCGAGGTGAAAATATTTCATTATTTTACACATGAAACCCGGCTATCGAAGCATAATTTGTGACAGTCTTTTGCAGATAAGAACCAAAGAATCTAAGTACGACTTGACACAAAATTGCGAATATATATACAATGCAGTTGAAGAATTATATTCGTAATTCTGAGAAAAAGATTGCTATTTTCTAAGGTAAAATTATGACTATAGCAAGATTGAATTGTTGCCCATGTATCGAAAGAAACAATTCTAAAAAAAAACAAACTAGGGATTTTAAATAGTCACTTGATCATGACAGTGTTATTTTCCATTAGCTAACATTCCACAAACGGGTTGTTAGACCTTTCTTTTCGCCATGATGCTTTTTAAAATATTCGTTTTCTGTAGTTAAGTGTTTCGAGCTGCACTATTTTTATATGAACTTTTTCTCAAAAACATTGTGTTAGAGATTCAGACAGTATCATACAGGATTAAGTAACATTTTCATATCCGTCTCCGTCGCTGAACTTTTCTTGTCGTCTGAAATGATGACGTCATTGTTGAATAACTTGCTATGTAAATTTTCCGACAGTCCAACGCCGAAATATACACCGACAGAGATTAAAGAAAAATGTTTAGATCGTGGCACTGGAGGTCTTGCTGATTATTGGCATGATATATCAAATGGTCTCATTAATTTTGATTCATCAAGTGTCAATGGTTGGTATACAATAAGTGAAACAAAAGAACAACAACTGAAAAAATCGAGAGATCAACGATTCGATGATTGTGTCAAAGCTTCCAAACTATTGATTCGAGCATCGCGACGTATCATTGTTATTACAAGTCCAGGCATTGACTTATGGGGTAGAAATAAACAAGCTTATGCCGCCGAAGATCACGATTTAACGCTAATAGCCCATGAAATGGGTCATGCTTATGGTTTGGGTCATTCATTTTCCGATGATCCCAACTATAGAAATATTGATTGGGCACAAATTGGCGAATATGATGATGAATGGGATCTCATGAGTGCTGCTAATGTCAAAACGACAAATACAATCAAATTTGGTTCGGCTCCACCTGGCTTAAATGGATATGGTTTGGAACGACTTGGTTGGATTCCACTTAATCGTATTTATACATTTGGGAAAAAAGGTGAAACATCAGCTACATTAACTTTAACGACACTTACGAATCCAGCAAGCAATTATCCATTATTGATACGTATACCATTCGATCCATCGGATTATCAACATTATTATCTTATTGAAATGCGTTTCAAAGAAAATTGGGATGCTGGATTTGATCGAAATTTTGTATTCATACACGAAATCAAATATAATCCAGCTGATAAAATTTATCATTCATATCTTCTTCGAACACATGATACATCAACACGAAATCCTGTTACATCTATGAATATGAACAATGTGAAAATTACTACTGGTGAAATCAATGTTCGAACACGAACTGTTTCTGTTTATATTGAAAGTAATATTGCAGATCGTTGTCTCCAAGGTTATGTATGGCGTGAAGCAATACCAAGTGATCATGTATGTGTTACACCAACAATACGAAGTCAAACTTGGGCAGATAATGCTGCTGCTGATTCACGTCGCAATCCATCGGGTGGACCTTTTGGTGTAGATACATGTAAGCAAGGTTATGTTTGGCGAGAAGCTTATTCTTCCAATGATCATGTATGTGTATTAGCTGAGACTCGAACTCGAGCACGAAATGATAATAATCAAGCAGCTAATCGTCGAAATCCGAGTCGGTTTGTCTATGGACCATTGACATGTCGAAATGGATTTGTTTGGCGAGAAGCTGATAATTATGATTATGTATGTGTAACACCGGCAACAAGGAAACAAACAGCAGTCGATAATATACTTACTTCACTACGTCGTCGACCACGCCATACGTGTATGTCAGGTTACTATATAAGAAATGCTTATCCAAATGATTATGTCTGTGTTTCGATGAGTGTTCTAATTCAAGTAATCGCCGATAACTTCGCTGCTATTAGTCGTTGGGTTTATGGATAAAGATACGTATTATGACGCAACTGTTACATCCTATTGTCATTTGAAAAATTATAAATGATCATGGACAAATATTTATTACTATTGAAAAACTTTTCTCTAACAGAAAGTGAACATTTTAAACGAGAGAACTTGTTTCATTAACCTTCTAAATACAAATGCCTATGAATCACTTGAACTTCTATTATTATTTTGCTTTTATTCCTTCATTATTAAACTAGAACAATAGATCTCGACTAAAATCAAATTTCAATTTATTCATAATTACTATATTCATTCGACTGTATTAACAATAAATAAACCCAAAAAAAACTGTTGTTTACCACTAACAGTTTTCATTATTAGAGAGAAACTTCCTAAAAAAGTTAATTTTGGTACTAAATCCTATTGAAGACAAAACAGGCCAAATATCAGGGAAACAATCCTATTGAATCTAATATAGATCTAGACAATACTTGCTATCGAAAAGTATTGCAAGGAGAATTTGACCATTCCATCATAGAACTTTCAAATTTCGATGACCCTGTGATGAAATCTATTAATAGATCTGGATGGGTAACCAACGAAGTTCCATCATGAAAATGTGAGCATTAAGATGATTTCTATCTGTTCGACATATCTTCAAGAGGAAGAAATTCAAATATTCTTGCATCGAATGCTAGACTTTAATTTGTGCGTTTCAGCTCTTTTTCAGTATATCAAGAAGAAACTATGCAAGTTGTTCTGATATCAGATAGTTGTGGCAAGATCATAAATCATCAATCAGATAGAGACGCTCAGGCATTTCGATTGTATTGAATGCATAATAGTAAGTATGCGATATTCAATGAGTACATTGTAAACATTGTTATAGTAGGGAAATAAGCATCCTTCTCATTTGAAATTCGTCGAATGATTTGAAGGAAGATATATAATCTGAGAAGGTTAGAACATCTAGCGAAGTATTGTGAAACTCTAGTTTATGCAATCTTGATCGAATTTTTAATGATAATCCGATATATAGATATTTGATGGCTTCAGAAGGCAAAATTGAATACGATGATTCTCCATATCATTGATTTCGATCATGTTATATTATTTTTCGTCATCGTCATCGATCTTGTTCACTAACATCAACCATGAATCGGCGCTGATATTTGTCATTGATCTGTTGGGGATGTCGATCAATGAAGATCAATGCCTGGTAGAGAATGAAACTTTTCACTCTAATATGACCAGTGACTGTCAAACTAGCTACATTAGATCAAGCACAAAAATCAATAATAAATGAATTGACATGAAAAACTACAGTAGGTATAGTTGCTGATGTCAATCTTCTCTTCACCCATACTTAGAACAGATAAGGGACCAATATGGGATCTGTGTAAACGACAGTCATATTCTAAAATTCGCCATTCGATTGAGATTGGTTCGTTGCATTGCTATTGAGGATCAAAGACAACAATGTACAGACTCGTCTCGCCATGGTTCAATTCAATAATCAGCATTTTATCAGTAAAAGTAAAAGAGAAATAATTTAAAATTTACCAGTACTTTTTGACAAGTTACTTATCTCTGGTGCAAAGTGATCGGAGATCTTGTACAGCTTCCCGCTTGTTAGACTCCGGGACATAAGCTAAAAAGTTGTTAAAAAGAGTTGGCACAGTATGCATGTATGTAATCTGTTACTTTTTAAGGACTCTTGAGAGATATTCTAAATCACTAGTTCCTTGAGGTTGGACCATGACTAATGTAAATCTAATCATCAATGTGCCTAATATTTCTTCAGCATGAATATCAAAAGAAGATCGATGATGAACTTAAACCTATGAAAAGAAGAGAAACTAAACAAAGACTTGTGAGAAAGTATAGTGCTTAAGAGAGGGTCCGCGAGACCACCAAACAAGTCGGCCGCCGACAAAATTTTGATTTTCGATTTAGGTATCTCAAATGAAAGGTCTAGTCAAACCATAGACAAATCCAAAATATTAGCTCTTTCTGACTTTCCTATGAAGAATGGCATAGTATACAAGTGATACACCCTCCGAAACCTGGAAAAAGGCATTTTTTTAGGGTGACTTTAGTATTTTACACTTTTCTCTGCATCTGCTCATTCATTCGAGTTCGGACATGTCTTAAAAGACGCAGAAATGTTTTTTTCTACAAAATTTAATAATTGTTTATGTTCTACAATGCCATTCATCAAGTGATAATTCCAATATACGAGCAAAAAGGACTATTAGCTAAAATCACGATTTTCTAGTATTTTGACTTTAGCCACGCTGGATCATGCCATCCCAAAATGATTTATATATTTTCTGAAAGCCCTTAAAATTCTACATCGTACAAGGTATTACTTTACAAAACTAAAACACCAGCGAAAAAAGTTTGTCCATGGCACAAACGTCAGAGGGTGATGACCATCTCTATTAATTCTACCTCCTAATTAGAATACTAAATTATTTTTGTTCATCGGAATACAAAATGTGACTCATATTCGTAATCTACATGAAAAACTAAGCATAACAATGTTATTTCATTGCATGCAAAGTTAATCAAGTAAAAGTTATCCTATTGACTACAATTAACTGGAGTATATCGCCAAGTATATATTAAGAGATTTGTTCAGAAGCCTGTCTGATCTCTCATAAGAAACTTTGGAATCGAGTTTTATGTCTTATTTAGAATCACTGGACTCTTACCCTCAAAATTAAGTATGAATGTGTTTTAGATTGCTTTTTATTTGCGAGAAAATTCGATTTTTCTACATGGTAATCGGAAAAACATATAAAACTGAAAAAGTAGTGTCCATATTTGATAGCTTTTATTGTAATAGCTTATTTTGATGCCAAAACGAATAGTATATTCGGAATCAGCGTGAAAAACTACGTTGAATAACATATATTTTGGAAAAAATTTTTTTCCATCCAAAATCACCCCCTTGGGGGCCACGGACGAAGTTTGAGAAAAATAGCCCTGAGGGGGACACAGGGGCGATTTTTGATGGAAAAAAAATTTTCCAAAATATATGTTATTCGACGTAGTTTTTCACGCTGATTTCGAATATGCTATTCATTTAGGTATTAGAATAATCTATTACAATAAAAGCTATCAGGTATGTAGACAGTTTTTAGAGTGTCGTATGCTTTTCCGATAAACATTGAGGGCAATCGAATTTTCTCAAAAAATAAAAAGCAATTTAAAGAAGCTGCATAGGTAATTTTGAAGGTAAGAGTCCAGTGATCTTAAATAAGATATAAAAAACGGTTTCACATTTGCTCATGAACAACTAGATAGGCTTACAAAGAAGTCTATAAATATATGCTTTGAGATATACTCCAGTTATCTGTATTCGGTAGCATATTTTTACCCTGATTAACTTTACTTTCAACCAAATAACATATTCATATTCAGTTTTTCATGCAGATTACGAATATGAAGTCGTATTTGTTACTACGACGAACATAAACTATGTATCACCCTGACCATGGGTTGGAATTGACAGAAAGGGTCTGAATCCGCAGCCTTTGTACCATGGACAAACTTTTTTCGCTGGTGTTTTAGTCTTTTAAAGTAATACCTTATACGGTGCAGAATTCTAAGGGCTTTCAGAAAATATATAAATCATTTTGGGATGGCACGATTCAGCGTGGCTAAAGTCAAAATACTAGAAAATCGTGATTTTAGCTAATAGTCCTTTTTGCTCGTATATTGGAATTATCACTTGATGAATGGCATTGTAGAACATAAACAATTATTAAATTTTGTAGAAAAAACATTTCTGCATCTTTTGAGATGTGCCCAAACTCGAATGAATGAGCAGATGCAGAGAAAAGTGCAAAATACTAAGGTCACCCTAAAACACTGCCTTTTTTCCAGGTTTCGGAGGGTGTATCACTTGTATAATATGCCATTTTTCATAGGGAAGTCAGAAAGAGCTAATATTTTGGATTTGTCTATGGTTTGACTAGACCTTTCATTTGAGATACCTAAATCGAAAATCAAAATTTTGTCGGCGACCGGCTCCTGATAAGGTTCCTAAGTGCTCTCACGGACCCTCTCTTAACAACCAGCATGATCTACTGTTAAGCTGAAAGAAAGAGTTGACAAACCTGTGTTGTAGTCCGTTGCAGCATTTCCATTGAACTTCTTAAAAAATACGAATGTCGATAAAAATATGGTTACGACGACAAGTCCAAGTAAAGTCAACCCAATGAGCGTTCCAATGCCGAAGAAGACCCGTTGACTCTGCGTTCTTCTAAAACAGAAACACGGGAAAAGTACGTAATTCAGTTCTGGATAATAGAAAGCGAAAGCAGTATTAGAGTTGGGCTAATGAGGTGAGGTTTTCGACTGCAACTATGGTTTTTTTAATGTTCATAGTGAATAGTGTAATTCCTTAACATGTATTGAATCAGTGAACCTTTTGAGGCTGAACTATGGGTGTTATTTTACTCACTTGTCGAACTCTTCTAAAACATTTCGGAAAAGCGAATGAATTTTTTTTCATTTCATAATTGATATTTGCATAGATATCATTGTTATTAGAATGTCTCAAAAGTTACCGTCAAAGTATATCTCTTCATCTGAAGATATTAAGTCCTTTGAGATTTTATGAAAAAAAAACGGAAACAGTTGATCTGCTTTAAAAGTCAATTTTTTGAAGAACCATTCGTTCGAACTAAAATCATCAATAAAATCTGGTGATGATGAGATCTGTCCGTGTGCAAAACTTCAGGCTGAAAACATTATATTTTATTTTATTTGGAAATGCTTTAGAACAGATCGAGACGTGATCAAAATAACATTCATAACTCAGCTTCAAAGGTTTTGACATTCAATGGCAGTTTCAGTATTACGCAACTGGCTATGATCGATTTAATGGTTGCAGTGCTGGTCGAAAGGAGAGTTCACACTTGGACACTTTTCCTTGTAATCAATAGCTGATTAGTGTGTTAGTTGTAATATTAATGAAAAAAGCTTCGACAAACTTACAGTTTATCCGCTGTATCCATATTTTTTTC